GCGGGGGGGGGCCACTTACTTGGCAGGGGCTCGGCAGCCTGGCCCTCGCCTAGGGGGGCTGGGGCCGAGAAGGTCTCGGCCACCATGCGCTCGACAGGGGTGAGGACGAGGCCGGGGGCCCGTGGGCGCTCCGCCAGCTTCTTGCGCACCGCCCCTCGCAGGTCCCTCCACTTGTGCTTGAGGTCGCCCAGGTCCCTCCGGCAGTAGCCCAGAGCGTTCACGGCCTGCAGGATCTTGCTCCACACTCGGTGCTTCCGGGAGGGCGTGCCCCGCAGCGCCCCGAACAGCAGCGGGTAGTGGCGGGCCACCCTCTGCACCAGCACCTCCGTCTCCTGGGGGCTGAAGTTGGGCTTGCGCGTCTTGGTGCGGGAGTGAGGGCCCGGCCGCAGGGGCGCCACGGCTGGCTCGGGGCTGGAGCTCTGCCGGCACGTGGCCCTGCCGCTGCTGGACCCTGGAAAGGCACCAGAGGCTGAAGGAGCAGGCGGGCCGGGAACAGCAGAGCGCCGCCCGGCTCACAACCCCAGGCGTGCACTGTGTCCACAGGAGCGCACACGGGCCCCTGCCCGTCATCCATCGTGGTGGGATCACCCACGTCAGCACGCGGCGGGATGCCGAAGTCCCAGCTACTCCGGTCCCCAGGCCCAGACCGCAGTTGCCACAGGTCAGCCCTTGCCTGTCCCTCTCCCCTTCCCCGCCTGGAGACGGCCCCTCCCGATCAGCCCGTCACGGGGACTGAGTGACCATCTGGGTGACATGCGGGTATCCATCTGGAGTGGACACGCACTCTGCATGCCCAGAGACAGCCAGCTCCAGCAGCTGCGCTGAGGCCAATGGGGGCGAGGGGTGGGGGACGTGGGCCCAGGCAGGGGCCTGGGGAGAGAGCGCCTCGAGGGCACGCTGGAGCCGCCCGCTGTCCAGCTGTCGAGCAAACCCCTGCCTGCAGCCCAGGCTCTGAGAAGGAGGGAAGGGGAAGCCTGCCGGACAGCAGCCCCAGGAGGGAGGCAGCCCCACCCTCCCCTGGGGGTGCAGCATGGCCAGGGGGACGGCCGGGCTGGATGCCAGAACCTTGGAACGGGGGTGCAGAGGCTGGCGGGGGGCTGCCTATGCCGGCCAGTGGCTCTGGCCTACCCCACACACTCAGGGTGCCCAGGCACGCGAACAGTAGGAGGGCCCACGTAGCCACGTGGGGTGCAGAGGCCAGGCTGAGGGGGGCTGAGGTCCTCATGTGGAGGGAACACAGAAACAGCAGGGACATCAGCCTGCTCCCGGCACGGCCCTGCCCCCACCGCACCCATTTCCCAAGAAGCGGCCCCTCCAAGGTGACTCTGGGCGCCACACGTCCAGTGCTCTCTGCCGAGGCACCTGCTGCAGCCTCGACCCCTCCCCCACCCAAGGACCGTTTGTCCTCGCCCAGGGGGGGGTCCCTGGGTGGGAGAAAGGCCCGGGCTCTTCAATGAGCAGAATGGATGGGCCACCCTCTCGCACGAGGCTCCCTGACCCTAGCCTTCCTGAGGGGCTGGGGAGACCTGGGGACATGGAGAAGGAGGGCAGCAGATACTCAGACCCCTGGAACTGCCCTGGGTCTCATTCATCCAGGAGGCAGCCCTGCCCACACCTGGCGGAAAGGGCAAGGGGCTGTGGGGCAGGTGGCTCAGATACCCACCAATGGCATCTCCTTGCTCTGACACCATGGAGGCCAAGTCCTTGATAATCTGATTTACATCCAACAAGTCACTCTGTGGAAACAAGAAGGCAGGTGTTAGGTGCAGTGGTCAAGGGCACAGCCATCAGAGGGTGCTAGGTGAAAGCCAAGAGAGCCTAGGGTCCCCCCTCCCAACCAAGTCAGAGACAGGGCTGGGATCTGAATACTGTTTCCTGACTCCAAAGCCAAACCCCAAGCTCTCTGAGAATCCCAGGGCTGTAAGCTCCCTCACTGGGTACAGAGGACCCAGGGCTGGCCGTCAGAGAGCTGCAGTCAAGTGCAGAGCAGTGTCACCAACACTGCCTGCACCTCCTACAGGCCCATCAGTCCTGTAGGCACCTTGTTCCCCACACTTGCTTTGGGGCTCCTTGATAGAAGGATACCTTTCCCTCTCTGTACAGCCAGCACCTGGCATAAGGCAGCACATGGGTGCCACTGAATAAGTCCTGAAGAAGCAGGATGGGTTGATGGATGGATAGACAGACGTATGACTGGATGGTGGATGAATAATAGATGGACAGAGGGTGGCTGCATGGATGAACAGTGGATGAGTAGATGAGGAGACGGTGGATGGGTGGGTGGGTGGATGGAGAGGCAGGTGGACGGATGGACAGTGGACGGGTGGATGAACAGATGAGTCGGTAGATGGTGGACAGGTGGATGAGTAAACGATGGGTGGATGGATGAGCGGGTGGTGGGTGGATGATGGATAGATGGTGGATGGATGGATAGGTGGGTAGACGTGGGCAGATGAATGGCTAGATGGATGGGTGGATGGATGGATGGATGGATGGACGGATGATGGAGAGACGGATGGAGACGGTAGGTGGGTGGATGACACACAGTGGATGGTGGATGGATGGCAGTCCCACTGCCATGGAAAGACTGGGTGGCTTCATGAAGCTGGTGAACAGGGCAAGGACTAGAAATTTGGCCCAGGGGGGTCTGGGGCACCTCACTCCTCCATGCTGCCCAACTGCTTAACTCCACTTGCCAGGGAGCTAGCAGTGACACCTGTGAGGGACATGGCCACACCGTTCACAGGCCACATGCCGGGGGCACGTCACACACCATCCTGAGGCCAGGTCAAAACGCCCAACTGACAGTAGACGTTGGGCGCTCAAGAGGCTCCGTGACCTCCGGGGCCTCTCAGACGGGGGGAGGGCTGGTACTGGCACCGGGGCCCACTGGCTCCAAGGCCACCCTTTTTCTGAATGCCACCCTGCAGGGACCAGCTCTTCCACTGGCCAGCCAGGTCGCCCTGGGCAAGACCGTTCACCTCGGGGCCAGGTTTCCTCACCTATCGTGTGACCCAAACCAAAGCTTCCTCCTTCAGTGCCTGGCTTGTGGCCAGGGATGAGCCCCAGTCAGGGAAGGCTCCTCCAGGCCAGTGAGAGGGGCGGGGAGGGTGTGGTGAGAACCCTACCCCAGGCCCACCCACTCTACAGCTCATTCTGGAACTCAGATCGATTTCCACAGGGGTCACTGCAAAATATTACGGGGAAATTCATTCTCTTTTTAGGAGTGTTCTCGGAAATGAAGCAATTAGCATGATCTCAAACCCACGTGTGCTACCGACTACAATTCAATTACAGGCTTAACCACGGTGCAGGCAGATGGCCACCCCGTGGAAGCGGCCCATGGCCGGGAGGGTGGCCGTCAGTGTGGAGCCTGTGGGCCTCAGCCCCGGGGACTGCAGCAGGTGAGTGGGTGCTGGGTAGCCCTGGGCCTGGGCCCATTTCTGGGATCTCAGTCACCACAGCCTCCCCTGAGTGAGGCCACCGGTGGTGGGGGGTGGGGGGACACCCAACCTAGGCTCCACCCTCACATGGAGACGTCAAGGTCACAAGATAAAGGCTGCAGGCCCAGCGGGGCCTCAGTCAGACTGCCTGCTGCCCAGATTCCCCAGCTTCCGCCCCAACCCTGTCAGAGGCTGGGCACAGACCAGCCACACCCAACCCTGACCTTGCCACTGAGGCCTCTCTCACACGAGGCTGGCCCTGGATGCACTTGGACTCGACTCTTGGGGGTCTTTCTACGCTAACTCAGTCCCCCCTTATTGTGTGTAAGCACCCCTTCTGGTACTCCCACTTTGCAGACAGGTCAGGCAGGGAAACCAAGTCACCCACAGGTTAAGGGACTCTCCCAAGGGCGTGTGGCTGATAAATGGTGAGCAGCAAATCACCTGACCCAGGTTACCGCCCACCCAGACGGCACTGCTGGAGTGACACAGGGAGGTCGTGTGGCATGGCCGCTTGCACGGGTGGGATTAATGGGCACGTCCGGCGTTGCTTCCCACGGGCAGGGGCCACTGAGGGCCACGGCTGGCGTGGTGCTGCCCGCGGCCCTGTCCGGCCCACAGGGACACAGCCTCAGCAAAGGACAGGGCAAAGAGGGGCGTCGTTGAGCAGGGGACACGAGCCCGGTGCCCCCCTAGGGGCCTGCCAGGGTAGAGGTGGCCACCGTACGGCCACTAGCACGCCACTGATCCCAACAGGCTGGGACAGGCCCAGACGGAGCACAGAGGCCCCATCTGGCTCACGTTCTGGGCTTCGGGGGAGACCTCCCTTACAGACGCGGCGGCCGAGGCCGTCTTCCCACCTGCAGACACACCGGTGCAGAGGCTGACGGCCGGCCTCACACACCTTCCCTGCCGGGACCCGACTCGTCCCAGGCAGGGGGTTCCTGCGGCGGGGAGCCCTCAGCACACCGCCAGAGCCATCCACGGCCCGGCAGCTCAGGCTGGGGGTGCCCATCCGGGTCCCTGCCCTCGCCCCCAACCACAGCGTAACACCTGCCGGGCCCGCACGTGGGGCCCTGATCGAGGGACAGACGGAGCCGGGTGGACTGCCACCTGGGCCTGCTGGCCGCTCCCGACTGGCCCAGTGGACCGGCAACCCGGAGCAGAGACGGCGTGGTCTGCTGGCACGAGTGGGGGTTCCTGGAGCCCTCGGTGCCCTCGGTGCCCGGGGCGGCAGCAGGATGGAGGAGGGGACCTTACGCGGGGTGACCCACGCTGGACCACGGGTCAAGGGCACCCGCAACTCAGGGCTGCGCGCCTGGGAGGTTCCCACTCACAGGCCCCTTGGCGGTCAAGGTCACCTGTCACACACACACCCTTCTTTATTCTGGGCCTCCCTCTTTTCAAAACGCCCAACGCTCAGACCCCTGACCCTCACCTGCCCCCAAGCGGATGGCTCAGCCGACTCTGCAGGACCAAGGCTGGCCCTCGTCCCAGCAGACCATCCTGAGGCCCTGCTCCACCCCCCAGACCCGTAACACACGATGCTCTCCGTCATTCAGCAACACATAAACAGAACGTCATCCGTCCTGAACGGCAGCTCAGGCTGGGCTCCCGGAAACAGTGACACTAAGAACCGCCCCCTCCCCATCCCATCCCTTTTGTGTTCTGGAAAATGCCCTAAGCAGAGAATCCCTTCCCCGTGTGACTTAGACCTGTTCGCCACATGGGACAGACTCAAGGACACCCGCTGTTCACCCAGGACCAGGCCAGACGCAGAGCTCTTGTTCCCACCCTGTGCTGAATGCTCATCATCCCCCTGGCCTGTCAGGACAAAAGGCTTGGGAACAGACTGAGCTCAGTGTGTCTGCTGCCCGGGCCTGGACACCCCCTAACCCAGACACCTCACCCACCCCTCCCCACCAGACACAAGAGGATCCCCGCTCCCCGGCTCTAGGGGCATATGCACAGCCTATGGCCCCGGAGTTCACCTGATGGGAGACATCGGCTTGTAACGATCCTTTTGAATAAAGACTCTCCTTGCTCAACAAAGCAAGTGAGCCCTGTGGGGGAGGAATGAGGGGTGTGAGAGTGTCCCAAAGCCCCATGTGCTGCAGCTGGTCTCTGCCAGGTCTGAGGGCTGTAGGCACGGGAGCGGGAGGACAGGGACGCCGCGAGGGGGCCGGGCTGACTGCCGGGCCCCTGTGCAGGGCCAGCCCCGTGAGGCAAGCGGGATGCACACACCCATCACGAACAGCAGACAAGACCACAGGGCAGGGCTGCGTTCCGATGGCTTCCCTGCGGAGGCCCTGGCAGGGCAGCCGTGCTCCCCAGACAGGTGGTCCCACAGCTGTGCTTGGTTCTGTGGCTCCTGAAGGATGGCTCAGAGGCGCTGGGACATCCTGGCGGTGCGGGGTTCGTGTCTCATTCACCCCGGCACCCAGTGGCTGTTTGCATAATGGATGGGGTCATGAGGACTAGGCAGGCTCCGGGGACAGAGCCCCTGATGTGCCGGGACAGGGAGGGCCCACGAGAGGAGGCGCAGACGGGCACCCCAGCAGCAGAAGGCAGCACACAGAAAGGGAACATCTGGGCAAAGGCAACTGACACTGACAAGTGTCCCCCCAGGCCCTGTCCCGGGCGCCCAGGACACTGGCAGGCAGGCCTCACTCAGCTCCCGGAGGAGGACGCCGAGGGCAGGGGGGCCCAACTCCCAGGCAGGCCCAGGGGCACCCCTGAGACGTAGATCCCACCAGGAGCCGGGGTGGGAGCCACACACGGGCACAGCTCGGGGCCAGGCTGCCCACGGGCCTGAAGGTGAGCTTCCGCTGGGGGCCCGGAAGCCCCCAGAGCCACCCAAGGACGGCGCCCACCAGGGACGTCAAGCGGCAGCGGCTGTGGTGCGCGAGGGCGGCGGGCGCTGGGAGCTGTGCGCCTGGCGTGGGCACCAGAAAGCGGGAGAGTGGGTGACGGAGAGACTCAAAACACCTTAACTTAGTAAATGTTTAAATCATGCCATTATTTTCCTGATTGCTTCTAAAACTAGGGCTCATTAAAAGCTCTCATGGAATCTTTTTTCTGTTCTTTTGCTGGCACCACATAATAACAACCTTGCACGGGACATAATAAAACCTCGATAAGCGTGCGTGTGTGTGTGTGTGTGTGTGCGTGCGCACACCTGTGCGTTCCTTCACTTTCAAGAAGGAAAAGAAAGAAAATACCACTGCGCTTTTTCTATTACGCGATCTCTTCTTATAATTAGAATCTTGGCAACCATCCGCCTATGAACACGA